CCCCAGCACTCCTTCCTGCCCAGGGCAGGAGGTCGGGACTCGATGATCTGTTGAGGTCCCTTCCAACCCTAGCATCTGTGAATCAGGCCTACTGAGCCTGGAGAACAGACAACTGAGTGGGTATTTAATATGTCTTCAAAATACCTGATTATAAAAAGGACAGAGAGAGGTTTTTCCTCTGTAGCTGTAGGGGACCAGAACTAGGAGTCATGGCCTCAAGTTGCAGCAGGGGAAATTTAAGTTGGAGATTTAGAGGAACTTCCTGACTGTAAGGATGGTCAAGCATTGGGACAGGCTGCCTAGAGACTGTGTAATCTCCATCACTGGAAAGTTTCAAGAACGGGCTGGATGGACATTTGGCTACAGTGGTTTAGTCAGGGATTGACCCTGCCTTGAGCAGAGGCTGGACTACATGCAACCTCCTGAGATCCCTTCCAGCCCTCCTCTCCTGTGATCCTACTAGATCAGTCAGACACGGGACAATGCTGCAGAAGAGGCAGTGAAGCGAGCAGCATCTATCCAAGTTGCTGGCGGCATCATGTACTTAAAGAGGACTTGGCTCCCGGGGCTGCCACAGCTATCCTATTAGCAGCGGTTTATGCACTTAATCCAAGGGGTAGGATTAGACGTGACCTTGTGATGTCCCTTCAGACCTAACCAGACCGTGATCCCAGGACTTGTGAGCAAAACCATCCCTGGCTGATGTGTTAAGCCAAAGACTTCCATGTGCAGCACCTCAGCAGCCTTTCAGGGGTGCTGCAGGGGGATGCCACGTTAGTCCCATGAGCTGTGCAAACAATTCCCCGCATAAACCCAGAGGTTTCAGAATAAGCCCCAGCACTAAATAAAGGCTGTCCTGCGAGGGCTTTCCAACTGCCTGGCAACAGAAGAAAGGCTCTAGTATTCCCACCCTGGTCAAGAAATGACTCCAGACTAAACCAGTGCGGTGTGGTGCGTGGGAGAGGCACTAATCTATGCGGGGCGCGAGTCTAAACCGTGGAGAACCACCCGCCTTCGAACGTTGCCGCGGGAGGGGGCGCTCTGCGCGCGCACAGGGCCCCCTTTATGACGTCACGCCGGGGGTTTCAGCACGGGCTTGCCAACGCAGCCGGCGTCCTCGAGCTCGGGCATGCGCAGTCAGCCACGACGCGC